TGTGTATCATATGCAGGCCGGGGTGTTGCACAGCGGGGGGCGTAGTGTGTGCATGGGCTGCGGGCGGGGGGTTGCTGTGCCGGTGGGTGCACGGCAGCGTGCGGCCTGTGCTGCGCGCCAGGCAGATGTGCAGGGAATGGCTGCCTGTAACCACACAGGAGGTTACTTTGCAGTTAAATGAGGCGAAGAATTACCATGGTGACTGCACTCTCCTCTCCCTGCCAGATGCCAGGCTCCCAGGCAATATTTGTGTGTTAGGTTCTAAAAGCCCCAAACTCACTCTCCCTCTTTTGAGAATGGGTGAGGACCATGCTGCCCCATCTCCAGACAGGGAGAGTGGTAGACACTGGGATATGGTGGTGGTTTCAACACCCTCCATCTTTCAGCAGAAGGGGGGCCACTGTCTGGGTACCTCCTACACTGGTGGCTGCTGCAGTGCAAAGACAGAAGGGCTGCGGTTTGAGTTCCTGTGATACACTATGGTTCTTGCACTGTATGTCCACACAGTGTCCTCGGTGAGGTCTGAGCTAGTTGCCGGTTCTTAGGCACCTCCTGTGTGTGTGCAGAGAGCTGTCTGTTGGAAGACCTTGCACCCATGCTGCAAGAGAGGTGCTCTAGGGAGCACCACGGCAAACAACTTCAACCCTGGCACCACCAGGAACTCAGAGCTCACCAGCGACAGGTACTGCAAGACTCCAAGGATAGAGAGAAGGCAAATGGGCACCAGAACATAAAGCATCCTTGTACCTAGCGTATTCACGCTTGCTGTTAGTGCCCACACGGAGCATGTTTTCTGTTCTTACTCCATTGGATCAGATCATGCCCTGTGCTGTAGCCCCTGGTAAAGAAAGTACAGCTGCATCTTTCAGGTACCACAGGACCTAAGGTGCATTCCTCAGAGGCCTTACTTCTTTCATCTTCAGAGGCCTTATTTCTTTCATCAGCTCTCTAGGCCATATAAATCATCTCTCTCCTGTGCTCTCAGTTAAAGGTTTGGGGAGATGGTTGCTTCACAGTCTGTGGGGAAAACTTGGAGAAGGAAAGGCTTTGTTGCCTAAAATATTTGGAAGTGCTTGGTTTGGGGTGACCACTGATGCATCCTGCACAGACCCAAAAAAGCTAGAAAGAACAAACCAAGTAGATCGTCACACTGGTCCCATAGGCTGAAGTGCCACGGGAGACTAGAGAGGTGCTGTAGACCAGCAGGTAGGTCATCATGTCACTTCTGCTGCACTGGAAGATTGCAGACATGCAGAACGCAGCTTGAGGGAAAGGTCCAGTGCTCCTCCTCACTGATGTGCCCTTCGCAGCCGCTTCCCTTGAGTACTCCTCTTTTCCCTTTAAGGGTTTTTGTTTAAAGCACAGAAAAGCATGCTAGACACTGACAAACAGGTATTGTCATCTTGTAGAGGGCTGGCAAAAGAACAAATAGCTGTGCTTCAGTGGAGGTGAAGCAATCTCTCCACACAGCAGAGATTTGCTAATTTGCACGGTCATGAGGTCACATTGGAAAGATATTTTTAAATGAAAAAGCAAGGAAATGATGCAAAATAGATTTGAGCATATTCCAGGAGATAGTTAAATTTTTCATAGTGAAAACCAATAATAGATCAGTCTGTGTGCTATGAACATCTCATCACAAAAATACATCACGGGAGGCTTCTGCTATCTATTCTTGGCTGAGCACTGACCTTGGCTATTAGATCTCAATTAAGCAAGTATGTGACTAATATTTCTCTCTCTCCCACTTTTCTGCTGCAGAAAATAATATTCAGTGAATCAAAAACTGAGTATCTGCACGCTTACTCTCCAGATGGGACCCATGGTTTCTCAGTAGATTCCATGTCACCTGAAATAAACCAGTATTTCTTGTGTGAATTCCAGGGAACGGAAATATTAAAGATCTGTGGAGCCAGGGATTGCAACCTTCAGCGCTGAGCAGCCTCTGCTGTTCCAGAGCAGCGTACAGTGATGCTTGCAGCGACAGGGGAGGGGTGAGAAGGCCACAGAGATCAGAAGGAGCATGCCATATCTTCACTTCTTTATGCTTGCTCACCCGGGATCCTTCTTTAACTTCTCTCTTATCATTTTGTCCTAGGAGAAGGGAAGTAGTGCTAGTGGATTAGACAAGGGTAGTGCTAAGACTGTGCAAGCCTTGCCTTGCTGCATGACCCCTGTGCAAGCCAGGAGAAGTCTGCAGACTGGTTCCACCTTCAGTCCAGGTAAATGCTGAAGCATCAAAACAGTGTGCCAAACTCAGGTCTCTCCTTGAGCACAATCACAGCATGGGCCAGGAAGGGCTTGGAGGAGATCATACCCCTACACTCATGTTCCCCATCCAGCAGCAGCTGTCAATGGCAGGAGCAGCCGCAGAAGCCGTTTGTTGGAGAGGTGTGCTCCTGCTATTGACAAGTGAGGACAGGACATTAGGAGGGAATGAAGAGTTCTTTCTGCCAGCTAATTATGTGTGTTGCCTACAGTTGGGGTTCAGGCAGGGAACAGGGGACAAGGCAGCGCCTGAGCTACAAAGACGGAGGAGGCGGTGGGGAAAGGACATTTTTGTTGCACTTGTTCTGGCACTGCTTGGAGGCGAGAGGAAGAGTGAGGGGAAAAAATGTATTGTGGGCAAGGGCACACTATCTCCTACAAACTGCAAAGAGATGCCACTTTGACAGCAGTGTTGTGATAGAGCAACGTCAGCATGAAGAATAGAAGACAGGTCTCCTACGTGGCAGAACAAACCAAAAGGACCTGTGGCATGTTTTCAGCTGTCTGGGCTGAAAAGGGGCTTCTCTGTGTGCAGCAATCAGCTGGGTTCAGAATGGCTGCTGATTATTTGCAGTAGTGCAGCTAAAAGCTTCCTGACCCCCTGTCACAGACGGCTGACATTCAGCACTTCTGCAAAGTCAGGTTTCATCATAGCAGTGAGAACAAGCCGACAGATTCAAAGCAGTCATTACAAGGTTGGTGCTGTTCTCTGGCAATCTTTCCAGGTGGTGGCTACATTTGACAAAAGGTCAGACTAACATCTGACTTGAAACTTAGAGGAACACTGTCTGAAAAGCCAAGGGGGAAAAGGCCAGTGTATATGAAAGCGTGCTGACTGGAGCGGCAGAAAGCTCTACCTAAGCTTGATCTCAGCCACTGGGAGAAGGTAAGCCAACGCTGGATCAATTCTCTCTGTTCTAGAAAAGATGGGACATGCTATGCAACAACTGGGAGTGAGAAGAGTGTTATATCTTGGTGCTCATTCCACATTCAGTCTATGTTTGTTCCCTTTTCTCTGCCTGCCTTGGCTGTGAGCAGTAACACTTTTTCTTCATTCTTGGAAGAAATTATTTCAAACTTTTTTTGTTACTGCTACTGCTAAGAATGTCTCGATGCACCACTCGGGTTTACTTTTGTTCAGCTCCATTCCATGATTCTTGGCTCCACAATCTCAAGATTTGTCTAAGGAGCCATCCCCTGATGAACCAGCGAGTCTTTCCAAAATTTAAATTCTGTCTGAAACAAAGCTAACTCCGAAGCTTCAGCAACAACCAACACCTCTGCCTGGACTGATTGTTTTTAAGCGAGAATGGTGCTTTGAAAGATGAGTCTCCTTTCCAGGCTGTGTGCTCTCCTTTGGCTCCTCCATCATTTCAAAATCAATAGCTGTCTCTGATTGGCCCCCTCCCCTCCAGACCCTGCTCTTTGCTACCTCATTTTGGTTTTAATTTGCCACAGCAAAATTGCAGTCATTTTTCCCCCATCCTAATTAAGAAACCCATCCGTTAAGGAGCAAGAAAACAAAAACAAAACCTTCTTATCTACGCCCTTAGCACAGAACAGAGACAGAAATGATTGGTGAGATGATCACCTCTAGAAAGCCAAGGCCTTTATTGATTCTTCTGGCCTTCCTCAGTAAATACAGAATGAGTTTTAAATTCACCTAGATGGAAGCTAAAAGCTAATGCAAAGTGCTGACTTCCCAACATCAGAGAAGAAAGAGGCAGTATGTCTTCTAGGCTGATTCACTTTTTTACTCTCTATACATAATTTCAATGAGAATATTTGGAGAATGTTTCGTTGTACATCATAGAATCATAGAGGTTGGAAAAGACTGTTAAGATCATCAAGTGCAATCATAAACCCAACACAGCCAAGTCCACCACTAAACCATGTCCCTAAATGCCACATCTATGCGTAAGTGTGACTGCCACCTCACCTTACTTCTGTTTCAGTTTCCCCACATTTTGGTACCAATTGGCCTCACTCCTGACCTTTCAGGGGGTAATGGTCCTGACCTACCTTTTGGAAGAGCTTTGAGATCATGAAACAGATTAGAAAAGCTGTATTATGGGCAAGTGGCCTCCTTCAGCCCAGCCAGCAGCACCGGGCACTTGAGGTAAGGAAATGAGCACAGAGTGACAGTGAAGGAGAGCACAAACTCAGTGCTAAGATGTGTGGTTACTGACACAAAAAGGGAAAGGCTACACAGAAAAGCTTGGCTTGGGGGAGTGTCCGCTACACGTGGGGATTTTGTGGAAGAGGATATTCAACAGCACCATAGGAGAAGGTCAAAGGCAGAATAGTCCCTAATGACTTGGGAAAAACAAGATGGCAAGGTTAAAACTTTCATTGTCCAGAGGAATAAACATTTCCTCTATTCTGCAGAGAGGGAAAGCAGGCTTTTCCAGACTTTATCCCCTCCTTCGTTCTTGCCCGGTACAGCGGAAGTGATAGATACCTTCTGTGATGCCTATCTGAATACAAGCCCTAGCTGCGAATGAAAATCATATCTGGCTCCCTGTGGTACTCCGGACACTTATCATCTTGGAGAGATAAGCATTTGGCTGATTAACCTGTTCAGAGTCCCTGTGCAGTCAGCCCCTCCTAAGGGGGGGTGTCATAAACTTAAAGTAGCAGGAACCAGATGGGGATGATGCTCACTGGGCTAAAATTTCTCTGATATTTGAGATTGTTCCTCTCTTGACTGGGATCCCAAGAGCAAAACCCTTCAGAGCAGGACCTGCTATGACAGTCCAGACGAGTCTGCATTAAGAGCGTAAAAGTAGGCATTTGAGCCTGGCTTCCTAAGGGAATAAGGCTTGTGTTCTCATCGTCTGTGGATGTGTTAAACTCTGTGTGCCCTCACATTCCTGTCCAGTGACTTTGAAACCTGTCGGTCTATTGCAATTAGATTTGATAGATGGCATAAATTTCACAGCTAATTAAGTTCCTGCAGGTTTAGTAGGTAGCCAGTTAGAGAGGGACCCTATAAATACCCCAATTCAGGAAAAGGGTGCACTGTGCATGTATTAAACACTGGAGAGATCACATGGAAAAAATCACTTATAAATGCTCAGCTAGAAGAAAAGCTTCAATGAGAGCTCACGGTTTTTCAGGAACATAAATCCATAGGGAACCATGGTACATTCATTCTGCACCTCACAAAACTTCTTTTGTTTTATTGTGATTTAGATGGGAGGAAAAAAAATATGTAATTTAGGAAACACTGTAAAAAAACCCCACAGCCTAAGATCCAGTGGATTTAAGTGGATCTGGTGGACCTAGCAGGTTTAGGAACTAGGATTCTGTAGTCCATTTGTTGTTGGCATCCTGTCCATAACAGAAAGCAGCACTAGCAGACCAAGCACTGTACCACCTGAAATAGGAAAAGGTGCTGAGGAGGGCTAGCGAGCAGAGTCAGGGGCCCAGGGGACATGATCTATGGGGAAATGTTGCAGGACCTGCAGCCCTTTCATGTGGCACAGAGGAGACTGAGGTGGGCCCGGTCTAACTGTAGGCTTCAGTTATTTGAAGGAGAGTTACAGAGACAGTGGAACCAGACTCCTGGTAGTAACAGAGGGTAAGAAAAAGGCAGAGGGAATGGTTAGAAGTTGTATTTTGGGAAACCCAGACAGGACGCAAGGCAAAATTTCTTCAAAAGGTGAGTAGGGCAGCACTGGCATGGGTTGGTGAATGAAATGGTAGTCTGCATCATGGAAGGTTTCTCAGTCTCATGCGGGTAGCTCGTTGGCAGCAGTGCTATTCCTAGGGGGAGGCTGGACTAGGCACCTGCAGAGCTCCCTTCAGCCACTGTTTCTGTGGTCCTTTGGCTATAGGTATCAGATGATGCAAGGAAACAGCTCGTATGAGCTAAGCTGTAACTTGCACAGTGGCAACTTTTACCTCACTTCAACTTCACCAGAGTGTATGCGAACATATTCTTAGTCAGTGTTTAATTCTTTGTATGGAAAAATGCTTTTATTAAGGTCTTTGTGATTACCATTTGCTAAATATAAACAGCAGAACTTATTTTGTACTGTGCTAAACTTGTGTCAGCCACATCTTGTGCCTCTTGTGCCAGATCTATAGCGTTATGCTACAGATTGTTTTCAAGCAGCTTTGGTTATTAGGATTTACAGAGGCATCAGCAGACTGTGGATGGCTGTCTCTGTTTTTTCTCTCCAAGTCTCTTCTTGCACAGAGATTATCCAAAAAAAGGTCTTTTACATATAGGTCTTTTGAGGCTCCCAGCAACTTACTTTTCTGGATCATTAATTTCTGCAGTCCATGTACTTCTGTTAACTTTTTGAGGCAATGTGTTCAGATCCAGGCAAGTTTTATGATTTCATCAGAACTAAAGTATGCTTAGAGCACACTGAATTATGGCTCAATTAATTTTGCATCCCAATTAAATGGAAGACAGTCTTGTCACCGACAAGTCTCTTTTCCCTGTTTAATCTACCCTGGTTCAGGTGCGGTGCAGAGAATGAGAATGACTTTCATGAATAGATGAAGACAGGTCCAAACTCGTCTACACTCCGCAAGACGTAAGCTGGCTTCAAGCTGGACCTGTGGCCACAGCAGTGAGATACTGTGCTGCTATCTGGGTACTCCCTATCTACCAGCTTCTTCCCTGGCTACTGGCTTCTCCTGCCTACCAGCTTGGCAGAGCACGTAGCATAAACAGAGGAGCTTAGGTGCACCCTACTGCTATCTATAGAAATATCTGATGTGGAACAATGAGGAAAAAATGTCAACGAGCTCTCAAATAAAGGAAAAATACCAAAGATCAGAATCATTCCGGCAGCAGGCATGGCTCTAGGGACTGCTTTGCCCCTAGGTTACTACCTGGTTGACGTGCAGAGGGTGTGCAGTAAATCTGCTTTGGGCACTAGCCAGCAGCCGGGTTTGTTAACACTGAACTTCTCCAGCACAGCACTCTCAAGATGACTGAAAGTTTTAAGTTTGTACAGGCAGTTTCCTCTTCTGCTTCCAGTATTCATCCCACTGTGCTTTGATTCTGATTTAACTGGAGACTTTATTTTCTCTTTACTTTTGATTATAAAAAAAACAAAACCCCAGTAATTGTTTAAGCTCTGTTGGACAGTTACTTTACAGATCACATAATGAACAGGGTACACATGGTAAACAACATGCTTCATTTCCAGGTGGCCTGGGATTAAACACATGATTATCTTCCTGTAATCAACTCATTACATTAATAGGACGTCCTAGAAGATGGCTGCCTATGCCATCCATGCAATTTTGTGCTTGTGGCCCTCAGGCAGTGCTTCTCCTTTAGAGGAATCAAAAGCCAGAGAGATTCTCTCAGCATGCACCTATATGAACAAATATATGTTGTACCTATAGATATAAAAATTTGATCTGTGCTATGAAAATCCTGTTGTGCCATCATGAACCTGAACAAACGAGGTGCAATGTCGCAGGCCGAGAGCTGTGCAGAGTGGGTCAGCGGTTCCCAAGCCTTCTGCCCTAGAAGGGCAATTAGCTAAGTGCCTCGCTGGGTGCAGCCCTAGTCCCCAGCTTCTTCCTGGGGCTGCTGCTGCCTCTTCAAAATCGTGGTCTGGAAGCATGGTTTACAGAGCCCGCAGAAGTCCTGCGGTTTACTCATTTGTACTCCACTCTTCTGTGCTCACAGAACCAATGCTCCCGCTAGGCTGGCAGCTCAGGAAATTCTCGCCTCTTGGAGTTGTTTCTCTTTGTACAGAGGTGACTCTCCCTCCCTCCAAGTCATTTCCCATATGCCTATTTCTAGGGCAGGGACTTCTCATTTTCTGGGTGTCTGATGCAGAATTAGATCAGGGCTGTCTCTCACTCACACTGGCATTAAACATCAAGCTCAACTGCAAGCCAGTAAGTCAGCAAATTCTCAACTCAGTCACAACTAAACATAAGGCTTCAGTGGACTGGATGCTTCCCATGACCAATTGCCATCAGTAGTTTGCAGCATTTACTACAGTTTCAAACTGCAGAGGATAAACAGTATGGTTTCTTGACCTTGAATCACAGGAACAGTTGAATCCTGGAATAAATGATTGCTTGTCATTTGTTTTATATTTGTGAGGAACTCCAGACATAAGAAATGAGAACCATGGACTGTAAACCTCAGCCTGTGACTTGAAGAAACCAGCTCCAGCTCATAACCACCCAGTGCCACAGCTCTGTCTTCTCTCATCTTCAGTGCTGAGTGAGTTGGCAGATTTTTGCTTCCTTCTCAAGAGTGAAGAACACAGTCTGCCTTCTCACTGCCAGGAAAACAAGTATTCCTCTCCCCTTCCCCACCTTCAGGTACCACTAAGGCAGCTTTGCTGTTTTCCCAGCACTTTAATCAGTCAACTTCCCTGTCTGGTCATGTTGTAAGCTCTCTGCAGAATAGTATTCACTCTCCCAGGGCTCAGTTGTAAATGCACCAGGCCTAGCATACAGAAAGGATGCATTTCTGGCATAGAATAAGATATTAAAACCCCCATCTGATTATTTTAGACATTAAATTACTGCAGCCCTTTGCAGTATTATATAAGGAATTACTTGCACGCATACACTCCTTCACCTGCTATCAAATAAACAGACCAGACACTTCCCCATGAGGAAAAGATGCCACATACATATTAAATTGGACTTTGATCCTGCAGGCAAAACAACCCAACAGACCCCAAACTGCCCATAAGCAAGGGAGCCCTGCAGACACGTGCAGGGCTCCTTACTGGAGCTGGCAGATGGCAGAGGCAGGAGATCCAAAAGAAGGCTGGAGGGAACAGCACAAGGGATGCAGCAGCATTAACAATACACTGAAATAACTAACAGGGAGAAAAAGAAAAGAAAATAGCCAGCCCCAAACTGATAGAGATCTTTAATTTAAAAACCGAGGAAGTTTATTCAGTGGAAAAGTGCAACAAAATACCCCAGGGATAGTGCATTCCACTCCAACAATTAAAATTGCATTAAAAAGCAAATAGGAAGGTCTGAGCCTTACGGAGAACTGGCACAAAAGCTAGCGCTTTTCTTTGTTTCAAAGTATTTATCTTTGGGTGACAGAGATAGTCACTGATTAATTTTTTTTTTTTAGGTACTTAATTTACAACTTCAGTGCTTCTACTTGCAAGTCATTCTGTTCCTTGAAGATGCTAGCTTGGGAGGACCATTATCTGCAGGCACTTGAGAGGGGGCAGTTTGGAAGGAACAGAGGTGTAGAGCTCAGTCACATACTTACTGCTGGGAAGAGGCCCAGCTGGGAGCTACTAGATATTCTGAGTAGATATTGCCCCCGGTTGTTTCCCTCTAAAATCTGAGGTATGCAAAAAAAGCCCAGTTCCACTCCCACAAGGATTTTCTGCTGCAGCTGAGGGGGTGCAAGAAGGCAGAAGAGGAGCAAAGGACTACAGCAAGCTTACAGCAGGCATTGCTCGAGGGAGCTGCTAGTCTCTGATCACTGAACCGATGTTTGCTGTAGAGGCAATTCTCTTGGAAATGCCACAGGTAGGTCTCACCCCCAGAGCAGCCTGTTCTCCTTCATACTTGTTACTGCACTTCAGCTGAGCTTTACAAGCCCAATAGGATTCTTTAACACATAGCAATTATGTATCTTTTGCTAGCACTTTCTGTTCAATGACATAAAAATACTTTATGAGCATCACTGAACCAAACTTAGAAGTTCTATGATGTATGGGTATTTTAAAGGGAACCAAGTACAGTAAAGGTCTGCAACAAAACAGCAACAGATTTAATCTCCTGAGTCCCAGTCCTGAACTTCTCCTCCTTTTCCTTTTCAAGTCTTTCTCTCCCCCAACCTATTTCTTACAGCAAGGAGGACAACACCTGTTCTGCAGACGTTTATTAATCCCAATACAGACAGGTGATTTCTAGTATGATTACATGAGTTCCCAATTCCATACAGAGGGTGCCTGTCCAGTCCACTTCAGCACAATCTCCCAGTCTCAGCTATCCATATTTGGTTTATGTCTCTTGGCTCTGCTGTTCTCCTGATGGTGACAGTCTTCAGAGAGTGCTTGGACCTCTCCATTTGTCCCAGATTCCTCTGGAAATTTCTGACCCTCAGCCAACACCTGCCGAATAGTCATATTAATGCGGGAAGACTGCAAGTACTTGGCACAGACCTGCCAGTCCTCATCAGAGCTGTGCTCAATGACTGAGCCAACAGGAAGGTCTGAAGGAAGTGCTTGGTCCAGGCACGATGGCAGAGCTGTACCCTCAGGGTTGGGGAGGACCCGGGGCACAGCATGGTACAGTAGACGGCTGAAGCCAGACATCACCATGATATCTCCACTATGCATGAACATTGCTGTTGGGGCATCCTCCCGTTTCAGGCCCCCAAGCAAAAAGATCGAGGATTGCCCAAAACTACAGATGATATGAGGACAGAGAGAGAAAAGAAAACAAATTCAGGTAGAAAACAATTATATGTACAGTAAGAAAACATTAGCAACTAAATCATTTATAAAAAAACCCAAAAAACCAAACAAGAAAACCAGATGGACTCCTAGTAACAACTTTACAATGAGAACATGGAAAACAGACTAAGAGGCCTGGTTCAAGGTAGGCATGGTGTGAGCAGTTGCCCTGCTGAGGTATTCCATCCTTGCCTTCTAGTACCCAGCTGTCACTCTGCTGCTTTAGAACAGAACTGTGCTCTTTGCAAAAGAGCTCTTCCACTCCAGGCGCCACATCCATGCTACTCAAGCAGTCTTCAAAGAAAAACCTGTGCCCTTGAGCTATAGCTTCCTACCATTCAAATCTTCAGAGAGTGAAGATCATATACCCAATTAGCAAACTACCTCATACCAACTTCCTATAACCATATGCAACCATAGAAAAAAGCCACCAATCCTTCCACAACACTCGAGTGCTTTCCTTGACTCACCTGAATGATAAAAGGGGCCGAGAATGGTCTAGTTCAGACTCATCTACATGAATTCCCAGTGAAGAGTCAAAATGATAGTAGTTCAAGATCCCTGCTTGAGCTTGGAAACCCCGGAACCCGCAGGCTGCGGCCACTTGTTCTGAGAGGAATGCAAGGTCTGAGGGGAAACGAGTGTGGTGATTTGCTGAGTACTTCTGGAGGAAGAGAAGAGTGGAAGGAAAAAAACCCAAACAAACCCAAAAAACTCACCCAGAACATCAGAGCAGCAAATACAATTGGAAACAAACATTGAGTGAGAACTCAGAAGTTTAGTTGGTAGTCATGGATAAGGACGTTGTATTAGCCTGGAAAAGGACTACAACAAAGGCAGAACCACAGCAAGTTTACCTCTTACCATTTAATTCGGGGCCTGTGCCAAGACTGCCAGAGATTCAATTAATCATTGTATCTGGGTGGCAAACGTGAAGTCAGTAAGATTAGTACCTAAGGTTAGTAGTAACATCCTGAGGATCTACTTGGCCACTACCTAAAGCTGCCAACAGAAAGACAGTTTTGCATCTCATCAACAGAGTTCTGAAACAAGCATCCTTGTTCCTCCTTTGAAGAATAAAGACAAACAGGAATTAACTGCAAACCTACTTTTTCTCTCTCCTGTGAGTGATTCAGAGAGGACTGGAAGGGAATAACCAAGTTTTTATTAAGGCCACCCAGTAATAGACTGACCTAGTAAATAGAAGGCTGCAAGCAGATTTGGTTAAGTATCTGCAATATACTGATAGGACTGCATATTCACTCTGCCATCCTCTCTCAGCCTCCAATTGACTCAGTCTTATGAAAACGTTTATTTTGGTCAGGAGCCCCAAAATAGCTGTTAGTTGATGAGACTATACTATACTGGTTCAGACTCTTAAGTTCAAAGTCACATCAGCAGCAGTCTCTTCCCGCTCTTACTCACCCCTTCAAAGAGGGGTAGTTTCTCAGAAGTTGCTGTCTTCAAGCACTCAAGGTAATTCTCACCTTAAGTAGGTAACGATGCTTTTGTGACCATCCCTTTTGGTAGGGTAACCTATGCTAATCCTGAAATAGTCACAGGTCTAGAGCTGAGTATATACTACCATATTACCTTTCAAAGGAAAGAATGAAGCAATGGACTTTTGCTGTTAAATCCTTCACAGTAAACTAAAACAGATTAAAATGTTCTTACAAGTATGGTTTGTTACAGCCTTTCCTCAAGACCGTCTTGTAGGATCACAAGCATTTTATTCCATGATACCCTCTTCTGTCTGCCATTCTAAGTGCTTACAGCTAAGAAAAATGGAGAACTTAATTTCAATACCTTAGTATCCCAATTATAATGGTAACCAAGGGTCACCCAGCGCAGCTTCTCCAACAAGCTTCTGGGCTCCCGTTTACTGGAACCTTTCCTTCTGCAAAGACAAAATGGAAATAAATAGGGTATGTGTTCATTTCCAAGGGGTTTTCTGGTAGTGCAGCATACAGTAATGAGATTCACTCATCCATATGACAGCCTATTAACGCCATCAATGCTAAATTTTTGTTTTCAAGTGCCATTATTTTTTTCCCTCTAAAGACCTTGAAAATTCAGTTTGTGCAATTTGTGCAAGCTATACGGCCTATTGCCAACTGCTGTCTGTTTGAGAGCTTGTATTTTCAACACAGTACATAACAGATTATCAGATGGAGACAACACAATGAACTGGTGCAGATTTAGAAGTCAGAATTAAACATGTACCACTATTTCAGCACCTGAAAGTGAAAGAACAGAATCTGTGAAGATCTAAAAGCTGCAAATATGAAGAAAAAGTATTCTAGCCACTTAATGAAAAATGACAAGAAAGGAAAATGCTTTGCCTGACAGTGAAACATATCAAGCTGCATAATACTGCAAAGGATCATTAGTTCTACTGCTTGATACTCTTACAAGAAGTACTTAGGATGGGCCAACTCAATGTTCAGCAAGAAGCAAGACTGCTCTAGCTATGACCACATGCTTCTTGTATTGTCAAGAAGTCTAGATTGCAGGTGTCTCCTATCCAGGCTGCTACGCAGGACAAAAATCCGTTCTTCTCAAGTGACAACCCTAATGCAAACAGACTCAGTGGTCTGAAGCCACACACCAATTTACCATTCTTACTTGAAGGTGGTGAAGGCAGGAAGAGACCTCAGGGATGGGCTTTCACTATGGCCTACGGAAAAGTCCTTAAAAAGTTATGAAGGGTATTACTCTAGTAAATCAAATCAAAACATGCTAATGACAAATACAAAAAGGGAAGTATACATCTATCTTCTAGTCCACTTATTCCAGCAATTTCAGCTTCTTATCTCAAGCCAAGTCATGTGTTATGGCAAAGAAAGAAAGAAAAGGGAAATGTACTCAGAACATCACGATAAACAGTAGCACCAGATGGTTTCTCATTTACAGCCTCATTAGTTCAGTAAGACATGCTCTCTTTTACAAAACAGGATTCATATTTGTGTTGCCATGGTCAAGTCTCAGCCAAGTATCTGCACTTAATGTGCATTTCTATCTGGATACACAACTTGTTTCTGCCCTTCACCTATACTGTACTGACAGCTCCGAAGCTAAACCAGGAACAGGAGTAAAAGGCCAGTTTCTCTAGCTTTAATAATTTTTCATAGCTCACTGATTATTGAAAGAAAGTCATCTTTCCAATTTCCATCTTTGTCATACTGTAATAGCAACTGCAATTACCATAATGCAGCAACACAGTAACTTTCACATATGTGCTGCTCGGAACAATTTATGGAGCCCACAAGCAGGTGACACAGCATTTAGAAAAGGGAGAGCCTGCAACTTGTTCCTCTGCATCTTTCCATTGACAAACTTAAATGTTCATATTTAAACATTTTCAGCACATGCCTTTTGCAAGTGCCCATCTTCTTTCACTACAGTGATAGAGTGTTTGTGCAACAGCAGGAACCTCAATATGCTCGGTAGGTGCTTACTCCCAGAACTTGGTATTTTGCATGTGATTTGAACTAGATGGGCTTTAAACTAGATATGAAGGGGGAAGGGGAACCTATCGGGCTTGCCAGCGACAGGCTAGGGGATGAAATGCAAGGGTTAGAGGGACTGGGGGCTAGTATGAGCCCTCAACACATTGCCCAGCCGTGTGCCAGGGGCGCTGCAGTGACGTTGAAGTCTGGTGGAGGTGAGCCAGAGGCTCCTGAGGTAGTAGGGGCCAACAAGGAAAAGCCCATGAAGCACCTCAAAGGAAACAAGGGGTGTTCGGCTGTGAAGGCAACGAGGCCGACAGCTCAGATGAGATGCCTCTATACAAACGCACACAGCATGGGAAACAAACAGGAGGAGTTGGAAGCTATCAGGCTGCTAGAAAGCTATGACCTGATTGCTATTACGGAAACTTGGTGGGACGAATCCCACGACTGGAATGTAGCTATTGATGGCTACAGGCTGTTCAGAAGGGACAGGAGAGGAAGGAGGGGTGGAGGCATTGCCCTGTACATCAAGAAATCATTACAGTGCAAAGAGCTGTCCCTGAAGAATAGCCACGAGCAGATCGAAAGCTTATGGGTAAGAATCAGAGAGAGAGGCAACAAAGGGAACCTGGTGGTTGGTGTCTACTACAGGCCACCAGATCAAGAGGAGC